TACAGTCACCCTGAACCGGAGAAAGAGTTGTTGACAATTTCTGGACCGTTACAAGAAGAATTGGTGTTTTTCGTAAGTTACAATGTTGCAAAGATTTAACACCAATTGCGCCATAGAGAGAGAGAGAGAGAGAGAGTGACACAGACATAGAGAGGGAGAAATTTAATCACATTAACGTAACCTTTACAACTACACCCTACGTTCCATGCACTTGCTCGCATATGACAAAGGTTGTTGACAATTAGCACTACTAATAGAGTAATTAGCCCAAGAAGGGGTGCGATAAAAGGGGAAAATTAAACAGGTTGAGAGTCGAGAAGGAAATACAAGTGAAGGAATTTTGTGCGAACTATTTGACGTAATTTAACAACGGAGCAAGATTCCTTACAATAAGTCGTACAATTAATTGAAAATTCACGACTCAATTTAATATTGAAACGTGCACATTGCGAGACAATTTGACGGGAACAAAATGAAAATTTATTGTCCTTTAAATTTTTTTTATAGTACAACTTTCAACGTCTAATCGTTGTCTAATGGTACGCCGATTCAAATAGCGCTCTGCTTTAACATTCTCTTGAAATTGTTGTTGGAAATTAGGGCAAGGGCGACGTCTACTTGCGGCACTCCCTCTGAAATAAGATGGATGACAGAAATTTATAAGCCAAATACTTTCTCTTCTCTCTCAGATGACGAACTCCTGCCGGCAGTGCAGGACCTCTTGACTTATAAACAAATTTTCGGAGGAGTTAATGGATGACCTATCGCGATCCTACTATTAAAGTTCTTTCGACTTCTAAACGACGGGATAAAGTCACATTCTTTCAATATTTCGACTAAAAATAATGTCTACTTCACATTTTTTACCACCAAAGTCATGAAAAACCTTATAGATATAATAAGTTTAGGAAAATCTTGGTGTTTTTTCAGGTAGTGTTTTTTAAAAAGGAAAATGTGGGTTACAAATACAAATGGTCTGAACCAAGATCACAAATTTCGTATTTACCCCGCTACCACTGGGAATTTACTGAATTCGAATCTTGCAGTAGTAGATGTGGTGGTGGTATACAAACTGCAAGGCCCATGTGTCTGGAAGAGAAGGCAGGAAGGGTTGATGAGAGCTATTGCGACCCCGTTGATAAACCTCTTCCTAAGACACGAATTTGTAATTCCAATCCTTGTCCAACAAGGTACAAAACATGTGCCTACAATAAAATGATACTGAAATGAAATAGAGAATATAATTTCTAGGTGGAAAGTTGACAGATGGTCTTCTTGTTCTGGTTGTAAATTTCGTTCTGGTGTGAGGTCTAGATCGGTTACATGTGTTAGAGACGCAGCTATTGCTGGTGAAGATGACGTGGTCGTTGAGGATTCTGAATGCACAGGTGTTAAGCCAGCTTCAAAAGAACTGTGTAACAGTCTTAGACCGTGTCTGAAATTAAGGAAGCGTTCTGATGAGCTACCTGAAGATCAAACCGAAGAAATTTACCGCCAGACAAAGATGCCGTCACATTTTGATTCAAAACCGATGGTAATGTAACAATTTTTAGGGATAATACTCCTGTTGTAGCTTCTAGGTCTGCTCTTTTAGGGGTTTTATTTAGTAACATTCAAGGATTTTAATCGCAAATTGTTGCAAAAGATGAGAAAGGAAGGTAGTGATAGAAGAAGAAATTTCAGAAGTGGTCGAAATAGATTGAAAAGTGCCAACAGAAAATCCTTAAGGCGGTATCATTATATTCCGTTGAAATTAGAAACTGAAGTGGGCGATGATGATAACTCGAAAATTAATAAACGCAATCAGAATTGTGTCACTATTCAATCGATTCCATCATCTACCTCAACTAATTCTAAACCAAAAGGTCACTGTACTCCATCAGCGAAATTAAAAACGATGACCAAAAGGCCTGACGTATTACCCAATAAGAAGCCCTGTCCAACATTCCCATCGTTAAACAAAACCATAGAATATTTCCCTGTAGACATTGTATCGAACACGAAAGACTACTCAAAACCTTCATGCACCTCCAAAACCAACAAAACAAAAGAAAAGCTACCCCTAGAAATTGGAACGATTGTCAAAGACCCTGTGGATCCTGAAAGTATCAAAGTAATCACGATACCTTTGATACAGTCTCATTTAGCAATAAATCTTTCGGACAGTTCATTTGAGTCGATGGGTGACATGGTCCCTGACAGCATAGATACCGCCCACGAAACTATTGTCACCGGGGAAGAAGCGGTTGAAGTTTTGAATAAACTTCAACACCCCAATGAAGGAAACACAACATCGACATTTATGACACAACCTCCAACATCGACTGAAGCTGATACTACCCCTACTAATTGTGAAGATACCGCAGTAACTACAACAGTCAGTCCCTGCAAAAGTAACTCGAATAGTGGACCGTTTATAAATATTTCACAACCAGAATCCGAAGAGTAACTCCCTTACTTATTTGATATTTATTCTACGTACAATGCAATGTTATTTTAATGAAGTAATTTAAGAGAATTAGGTAATTATGAACAAAGAAATATTGTTGAAAAGGTTTAATAAATATAAATATTTATTTATAAGGGAATAACATCTTTTATTTCTTCAGTAATTGTTTAATCCCTCATTAAAGGATTTTGACCATTTTTATTTAACTTTCGTCCAATTCTTTTATTGGTAGTACTTCGTGGTGTTCTTACTCCAAGGTGGCTGTAAGTTCGCATGTGTGTTTGTATAGTTGTACCTGTTTTTTTTACTTCCCCTTGTCGGCCGTCTCTTCCCGAATCAGGGGTCCCGATCGGTGGCCCGTTTCCAGGATGATATATCGTGCACCTTTATGAAATGTGCAATGCGATCTTATGCATCGACTAGACGGGATGGGATATCCAACTTGCCTTTACGTGCTTGCACTCGGAGATGCGCATTTCTATGAATTTAAATATTGGCTAGAAGTCAGCAGGAAATTTGAAAAGTGGTGAACGTAGCAGGAAATTTCAAAAGACTCATATTCACGTGGAGATACCTCGCGCTATCCGCCTCTCACTTGGGCCTCTGCTACGGTACGATGACTCGTTATTGATAACGACTAGATGGATATTGGTATTGACGAAATCCATCTTAATCTTATTCGACTTCAGAAATCGTTCTGGAGAAGCTCGAGTTATTTATAATGCTAATACTTATCAGCAGTTACCTTGCAGGATTTACACGATTTATTAGAGGTTACCTCAGGTAAGGCATAAAGTACTTGAGCATTATCACATTGCCTTTTAAGGTTCTGACCATAGATAATATAAAATTAAACCAGAAATTTGTTAAGGGTGACATTGATTGGAAATATATATCCAGTTATGGAGCCAGATTTGATCTGGATTGGACCACCCCATGTACATAATTTGGCTTGATCAAGTTATCTGATTTTGAAAATGTAATGTCTTAAAACATTTTGACTTGACCTAGGTAGGACTACTGTGTGTGGACCTAAAAGGGTTTAAATCGGGTGCCTAAATTAGGCCTGGATCAGGTGAAATAAAGCATGCCGTTAAAGGGTTGCAGTAGGGTATCCTCATAGGGGCCATATCATAAAAGTAGTCAGTCAGTCCAACTGGGGAGATGCTCCAGTATACCTGGATCTGACCTGGACGTTAATAAGGTCTATTTTAATAATTTTTCAGGTTAGATACAGTTTGCATTTCTATTTTAATTGGAGACACTTCTAAATCTAACTCAACAGGTCTGGATCATGAGTTCTCTAGTTCAGGACTTACGGTTGCTATTATTAAAAATAGGTACAATTACTTTGTGCTGCTCCACCCTGATTTGTTACCCCAGTTCAATTTTAATCGACCTGGGGTTTCATTTCTAGCATGAAATGATTAAATGTCTGCGTCCAATGTAGAAAATTTGTTGCTGTTATGCACTTTATCATTTGGCTCAGGTTTGTTCATGAATTATTCATGGACTTGATGCTCATCAGCTAATCCAAGTTTTATTAAGGGAAAAGTTAAAGTGTTCTAGTTGGAAATCAGGCTGCATGTAAAGGCAGAACATTGAAACTTGCTGCTATCTCATCGGTTTTCGATGAATAATTAAAAGCACTTTGTATGCTAAACCGATCTTCCAAAACCAACAACAATTTTTTTTAAATTGCATTTGCAAAGAGTAAAAAGTTATCGGTGCTGATCAATTACCGATATGTTTCACCAAAACTCGTTTTAGGTAACGTATTTGCTGCAGATTTCAAAATTGTAGCAATTATACTGTTGTTAGTCACTTATTGAAACACTTTAACAATGTCATATAGTTTGAAATAAAATTAATTTTTAAACTGTCAGTAGTATAGCGAATCCTTAATGCTATGCTATATATTTATTATAATTTAGAAGCGAAATCGTCTATATTATTTACAATGTGTCTACACATATAGAAATGTGTTTATAATCTTCATCTTACGAAGACAGATAGTGTCGATGACGTCAACGCTTTCTTTCAGTAATTTTATTGTAGATCGGTTGCTTATTTCGTAAAGGTCACATAGGTCAAAGGATGGTTACACGAATTAACTCCGACAATTGACGAATGCTAGCACCGATTAAGTTAGCATTTTTTTGCAGGTCTGTTTGTCTTATGATTACGTAAAAGTGAGTATTTTATTCCGGTGCCGTGTAATCGCGTTAAATGATAAAGCAGGACATCTTAATTGATATCGATCGCTCTTATCGATTTCGTTCGCTTAATCGGAAATGTTTTTTTTTTTTTTGTTCCTGAATGCATTTTTTACTTACGTAAGTATTTACAAATAAATATTACTTAAATATCGTTTTAAAAAACTGGTTATAATAATGTATAAAACGAAAGCAAAATTGCAAATTGATTTCTAGTTAAAGCTAAAGAGTACTTTGAAATATCGGCGTATGTTTTATACATATTAAAGACTGTTTATTGTTTATAAATATTTTTGGTGTATGGAGCAGTGTTATCATTTTGTATCCTATTTCAGGTGTTGTTTATCGTGCTGTTCCTATCTATCAGCCATTTTGAATACCTAGGATGCTTAAGTCACCAATGTAAGTAAGTTTATAAGTTTAAAGTTTTATGTTGAATTTAATAACAATATTAGGTATGCGTCTCTAATGGATGCTTATCTATTGAATATTATTATTTTGGGAATTTTGATTTTAGTCCATCTATTTATATGTATGTACCTACGATACAGGGATCTAATTAGTCTTCAGCTATTAAATAATTTAATTAAGTAGGTATTTGAACAATATGGCAGGTATAAATTGGCACCAATGTGTCCCAATGTTCCTACCTAATTAGAACAATTGTTTGATAACAAGAAGTTCGTTATCGAATGCAAATAGAAATTAATTGGCAAAATTTTAGTGGATAGCCATCAACCACATTATTTGTACTATCAGTCGTATCTATATAATTATAGCAGTGTATAGGATTATAACGCTATTTGTTGGTGATGTTACACATTTACTGCGAAATATGAATAAACTATATTTGAAGAAGTTTCAATTCTTTATTAGGTAAACTTCGATGTAGACTTCGCCCACTTAGGGCTCCTTCAGGATCAGGAAATCAACGTTTAATAATAAGTAAGTGAAACTTCTACAATTGTAGTTTATTCTGTATTATATCAAAAATCTTTCACTAAGAGTTTTCGGCTAATTATTTCTTTAAATTGATTTAATTTGACTGTCTTGAATACTCCTTTGTCTTACTAATAATTAATAGAAAGCGTAAGTTTCATTGTTTTCTTTGCTTTCTGTTAAGAGAGACTTTTTGAAAGAACAACCTGAAGGAGTCAACATTTTCAAATTGGATTATAAAGGCTCTACGCCATTCGTAAAAACGCCAATTATTTTAATTCGAGAAAGCGGAAGGTAATAACGTCAATTATAGGCTGTAGAAAAAGTTGTAAATTTAACTTTGAAATCTCCTTTTCTTTCTTTCGAATTATATTTAGTTTATAATACTTTTAAGGGTAGCCATTTTCAAATTGTTGAATGCTTCCTAGCCTGACTTATTTATTCCTTTTTAGTATTAGGTAATTTTTTTGTTTTTTGTAACACAGTAACTCAGTAGGGAGTTGTTTTGAAATTCTTAAAATTTTGTTGTGGTTAGGCCTTTATAGCCAATTCAAATACGTTTAAGCACAAGGCTGGATTGAATAGATTCTAAAAATTTGTAAGTATTTTAAATTACTTAGTGGTTGTTTTAACTTCTGAAGGGTGGTGTCTTATTTTATTATGTGGACGGAGGGTAGTTAAGAAATTTGTAACAACGTTCAAACATAATAGTTGAATAATGGTTTACTTATGTTCGATGATATACCTAGTTAAAATTTTGGTATGATTTGTTAGGCAGTCTTAACTGATTAATGTAGTTCGCGAACTTTTAGTAAAGGGTTTTAATAAAACCGCGCGTTTGGGCGTTGATAACCAAGAGAACAAATCCACCGTTTATTTGCGAACATTGAAGGGCTAATGTTTTGGTGGTTTAATCACAAAATGTACTTCCAATTAGCGTAGTATGGATGGGACAGACAACAGAAATAGCGATGAAGTTGAACATGCGCCGCCGCCGTTTTGAATCCCATCCTGGCCATTATTTTAATTAATTGCATGTTGCCGGCAGTCGAGCACCCTTGTGGAAGTGGTCCCAGGAAAAATTAATTTATCTAAAGCAAATAGAAGACCCATTCGGTTTTGGCTCTGTGTTAAAATGATAAATGCCGGTACATGTGGCGCCATTCGTCTAGTTTAGGGGGTGTGTGAGAGTATTATGAATGAATGAAAAGTGAACAGTGCTTGTGCTAATTCGTTTATTGTTGTTATGTGTTCCTTTAGGTATTTCCCAAAAACAGACACGAAGTAAATTTTATTACATTATCTTTGATGAAACCGTTGTGAAATATACTTGAAAATGTAGGGATGAGATAATATAGAGGTAGATGGACAGGTGAAGATCTTGATCAGTAACTAAGTAAGGGAAGTTAATGTTAGGAAGAGTGTTCGACAAGGGTGCACGCTACTTGTTAATTTATGTATCGAAGACGCGATAAATATCATTAAAGATAGGACAATTTTAAGGATATACAGGGTCAAAAGATTAGTATGCTTAGATTTGCAAATGACATAGCAGTATTAGTATCTAGCAAGGAGTAATTAGAGATAGAAACAATAGTAACACGAAAATATAGGAAAGGAAATGTAGGAAGAGTGAATGTAAAGATACGAGACGAAAAATTAAAAGACGGAGGTACGAGGGTGGATTGATAAGTTTCCGGCCTAACCAAGAGATGACGCCACTAGGCCTACCTTGAGGTGACATTCTATAGTACCATCCTTGGATAGCTTGTAGCTATAGTTTCAGCCCGATCTCCTTGCTAGTGTAGGTTTGACAGCACGCTGAACAAGACGCCTCTGTGGTTTTCGTAAAAATGGAAAAGCAGGAAAATCGTGCTGTCATCAAATACTTTTATTTGAAGGGGTTAACGCCGAAGGAAATTAAAAAAGAGATGGACTCAACACTGGGGACATCCTCCCCGTCATATTCAACCGTTAAGCAGTGGGTTTCCGAGTTTAAAAAGGGTCGTGTGAGCACCTCTGATGGGCCTCGCTCAGGACGCCCCGTTGAGGTCACAACTCCAGATATGATCGAAAAAATTCATCAAATAGTGCTGGGAGACCGCAGATTGAAAGTGCGTGAGATAGCTGAGACCTGTAAGATGTCATATGAACGTGTGCAACATATTTTGCACCAACATTTGCATATGGAAAAGATCTGTGCAAGATGGGTGCCGCGTTTGCTAACAGTCGACCAAAAATTGATTCGAAAAAACATTTCTACCGCAAATTTGTCATTGTATAAGCGTAATCCAAGCGAATTTTTGCGTCGATTCGTAACCGTTGACGAAACGTGGGTCCACCACTACACTCCTGAAACCAAAGAACAGTCTAAACAGTGGATTGGACCAGGGGAACCAACTCCAAAGAAGGCAAAAACAATTTTTTCGGCGAACAAGGTTATGGCTACTGTTTTTTGGGATGCAAGAGGTATTATATACATTGATTACCTTGCAAAGGGTAATACTATCACTGGTCAATACTACGCAGACTTATTGCAACGTTTGAGCCACGAGGTGAAAATTAAACGACCTCATCTGGCGAAGAAAAAAATCTTGTTTCATCACGATAACGCACCAGCGCACACGTCAATCGTTGCGACGGCTAAAATCAACGATCTAAAGTTTGAATTGATGCCGCACCCTCCTTACTCTCCAGACTTAGCCCCGAGTGACTATTTTCTGTTCCCTAATCTCAAAAAATGGCTTGGCGGTAAGAGATTTGCGGACAATGAAGAAGTAATCGAAGCTGTAAATGGTTATTTTGAGGAGCTTGACGAATCAGTCTATAGAGATGGCATTAATAGACTGGAACACCGCTATGAGAAATGTATCAGCCTTGGAGGAGATTATGTTGAGAAATAAAAAAAAAAAATTTTTAAAAACCTTGTTTTTCTTGGTCAGGCCGGAAACTTATCAATCCACCCTCGTATCTAGGAAGTTAGATAATTGAGGATGCAAGGAGTAGTAGAAATATAAAACAAAGGATATCATAGGGTCGAGTCGTCTTCAACAGAAAGAAGTCACTTCTATGTCTGGAGCGCGGAGCACTACACGGAGAGAAATGAGGAGATAAAGGGTAGGTTAAGTTATAAGGAAATCAAAAAGAAATAGGCGAAATAGGTTGGTAGGACACCATCTCAGGCTTACAAGGAGTAGAGGTAGATCTGGATTAGATTACTGTTCACAAATAGGTAGTGAAGCATGTGGGACACTTCACGTTTCGGAAAATTTGAAGATTAGGTCAGGATAGGAAAGAGTGGAGGTGCATGTCCACCCAGTCTTAGGGTTATGATGACGACGATGATGATGATGATGAACTGATTTTGATTCTCTTAAAGGCTCTGTTAAAGAAGAAGTAGTAGCGTTCAATATTGGTCAGAAATTTGAAATAAAACGCCAAAATGCTCTGTTATAAATCTACCAAAATAGAACACAGGTAGATTGTAGGTGGTTGTTAAGTGGGCAGAAATTGCTATCCCGATTCGGAACGAGCAGGTAATGATAATTGTCAATAATTAGACCGTTCGTTATGTCCAATTTTCCCGGTTGTGTAAACAGGACTGTTGGTACGTAACTCTCTGGTGTGATACCCGAGGGATTGGCGGGCGCTGTTAGTTTGTAATTACCTGACGCGATGAGGTGCTAAAAGAATGTCGGCAAGAAGGAAGACAAAAAAACGCGTTAAAGGCGATGAGTTAACTTGATTATAGGTAGGTATATAGGTGGATTTCAAGCAGCCGAGTCTGAGATCCTGAATAAAAGTAGCCAAGACAGGGACAGTTTTCTTTTCGAAAATATCTATTTGAATACCTCATATATCGAGTAGGTAAAATTGAACAAAGCACCCTGGTCAGAAATCGTTAGAGTGAGATCGCCTTCGTTTAATCTCGTTTTGGTTTAGATTTTATACAAGAATGATCGATGTGTAGGGTGTAAAATAGGGAATTAAAAATTGCAAAATTATGTATGTAGCTTATGGAGAGTTTATAAGCATTCAGAGGAAATATAGCGAACTATATTAAATAGTCCAGAAAGTTCATGATTTTGATATTTTAGATACTGTAAATTTAAGTCATTTTAGCTTAATCTAAACTTTCCAAAATTTACTTTATTTGTCCTTAATATTCAGGTGAAGTTCATTTAGGAATAGGATTTCTGAATTTAAGGAATACACTAAATATTTTAAGGATAAATGCGCTGTAATGTGTTTTTTTGAAATATATGAAGATGGATGTGGTGCAAACCATGATAGGTAGGTAGGTACTCTAATGGTTTTATCGCTTTTGGGTCCATTAAGCACATTCGTGTTGACACGACAATTGCAAAATGATTTTGTTGGAGTTTTACTATGTTTGAAGCGAATATTTTTCGGTGGATGCAATAATAGTACGTAGAAATTTTTGTGAAGACTATAAGTACGAG